GATATCACGTGATATCCTATATATGCATTTCCTCTATGGTCACATGGTCTACTTAATTCAATGGGATTGCCTGTATTTGCTCACTGGCAATCTATGTTCAAATTCAAGTGTCAGCAGTGACACTTTATTCCTATATTACACTTACACTAATCTTGAATAAATGCTATTATAAACTACACCCCATTATTTGGATACTCCATGTAAAACAGATCTGCTCCAATTGCTGGCAAACATTGCTGAAGCTTCCCCAGTCCTAAGATACAGCTTTTCTCCATAGAGCATTGGGAATACTGGTATATTACTCTAGGTCAATCTCAGTTTTCAGGGAAAGTTTATAGCCTTGCACATGTATATAAATTTCCTTCTTGTTGCTTTCCAGGTACTTGGAATTCTGAAAAAGTACGTTGCTGATTCTGTGACTTGGACCATTGATCCAATTTATTTCACTGTGAATAGTGATGCCTCTAAGTGAGCTACAGTTGTTATATATTAACTCAGAATGAATACATCGAATGCATTCTTTTCTTATACTCACTTGATGTGAACAGAGGTATTCATCAATAAATAAGGAGGCTTATGCAATAATTGAGGCCTTATTTCCAGTTCATAACAGACCAGTGAATTTTAGATTTAATGTTCAAGTCTTCTTGCAAGAGTAAGATTACCTACTGTCACTTTGAGCTTTTATGTTACAAATATATGAAAGTGTTCTGGGATGGCATGTAGAATGTTCCAGCAAATACCTTCTCATGTGTATGCAGTTCTACTTGTAGTAATGAAAAGTTGAAAGTTCAACATGACAATCTGTCACCCAACATTCTTGCATTTAACTCATTTTATATGATGTCACAATCTTCATTTCGCTGTGGAGGATTTGAAGAAAATAAAAGACGCTTGCCAAAACTTTTCCAACCTTTAACCTCAGTTCTTCAAGCCTATTCTAAGAAAACTTATCAAAGCTATGTTAACGTTTGAAAGATTCACTTTGGATTTTAAGGAACCCTTACTGTTTCAGTTAAGGAATAAGTACTACTAACTATAGTTGATGGATTTCTAGATCCCCTTTTGCCTTCCCATGTCCTGACTGTGCATAACTGTTCACTTTATCTGAAATGCCAACTTATGTATACTCAGAGGTACATCTTTCATGTCCAAAGAATTGAATTTCTAAAAAAAAAAAAAATAAGAGTGGCAACTTGTCACACAATTGCTTTCAATTCTCAAAGAATGGGCAAGTAAAATGAGATGATGGAATAATTTGGAGAACAATACTTTTAGCAATATAGGTATTTCCCAGTGGATAGAAATAGTTTTTCAATCAGTAAGGTCTCTCCTACTATGCACAGCTACATGAATGACTTCCTATCTATGCATGGATCAACTACAGGCCAATCATTGTCCTCTTGGATTGCATATCCAAAGCGGCAAGTGCAAAATACAAAGAATAGCCCTACTGTGCATAAGGTGAATCTCATTAATTCAATACTAAATATGCCCATGTGAAAGAACAATGTATATTTAAGGCACCGTGTGCCTAAACCCTTAACTGAAAATACTGTAGAAATTCCTGTGACTACATCTCTTTTGGATAAAGATCAAATGGTTTTGAATTCCAAAAACACTGTGATGATGATGGGTGAAACAATCCCAGATTTAGCTGCCCAAGATAGTGGTTAAGAACCATCACCTGTACAAGATCCATCTTCAACACCACCCAGCTACAAGCCTTCATTGTTAACGATGTTGAACCTCAGTATATACAGACATAATATCAATTTCAACACCATGTCACCTCAGCAATACCAATTTGATAACATCTCCACATTGACAACACGAAGCTACTAGTCTTCTTTGTCGCCAATGCCATCACCTCAGCAAATCCATCTCTGCAAAACAAACGGCTCCAAAAGGAAGTGTGTAACCCACTTGGCCCACCAATGTGATGCCAATCAACCAAACATGCACTGACCATAACCTGTAACCTTGCCCAGACCAGCACAAGAAATAGGTCAACTCCCAGCACTACACTTATACCCAATTGCTATCTTGACGATCGCCCACTGAAACTAATATTTCATCTAGCTTCAATGTATCTGTACAATATACTACCCTCCACCATGACCTTCATCAACCAACATGAGCACCAACAATACCCTGCAACCTCACATCAAACCCACACTGCCATCCTGATGACCAGTCACCCATCCTTCAACATCTCAGTATGATATGCCAACAATAAATGACCTTCAAATCTAATCCTCATTATTCCTTTCTCTCACTACCAAATGCTTAATATAACAGCTGCTTGCTATTAAAATGAATGAATAGCTAAGTATAAGAATTAGTTTCTTTTCACACTGAAGTTCTGTCCATTTTGTATTATATATAACAATTAGATTGCCAGAGATTTTTAATATATAAATATATATCAAGTCAAATGTTGTTTAATGTAAGATTATATATACATATATATCCCCCAAGAAAATATTTGTTAATAGTGCCGCTTATTAATTTCTGTATATACTTCCAGTTCTTTATTACATAACACTATTGGCACATTTTTATCTTATCGCTAAAAGAATTTAGATTTTTTTTAAAAAAGACATTGGATCTAAAGAGCACTACTTGCTATAAGTTTCACAAACTGAGCAATATAAAGGTAACAGAATAAATACTAAAAAATTGTGCAAAAGTTGTATTGGATGGATCAAAATGATTAAAGCATGAAAATAATAGATACTGCAGATTAACACACACATTTTAACAATATCAAACAAGAGATGTTAAATGAAAAAAAGATGGAGAAGTAATTTTATACAAGAAACTTGAATTTTCCATTTTAAAAGCTGTCTTGAGTAAACCTAGAATTTTGTTACAGTTGTATTTTTTTTAGTCAAATATACACACAATAAAACCAAAACCATAAAAATGATTTATCTCCAAATTTAATATAAACAGTTATCTGAATATTTTGATAACTTGTATAATTTCTTTACTTCTATTTATTTACAATGAAAGTTGCCAACATCAAGAATTAATATGAAAACAGTAACATGACAATGCTCTACAGTGACCAGTTTACATCTTTAATCTTACTTATTATAAAACCCAGGTTGTGTGCGTGTGTGTCTGTTCGTTTATATATGGGATCGGATTTCCTACATTTTTCAACTGATTTCAACAAAACTTCACAGGACTACGTAAAATTACCTTCTGACAGCACCAAAAATTGGAAAAACTCAATTGTTTTTGCATGAAATCAATTTGAAAGCATGGGTAAGGGCCATTGATGCAGATTTTTCGCAATCTTTGGACAATGTTTTGTTACCGAGCCACCAAAACAAAGCAAATGGTCCAGTTTCTGATAGCACTAACGTTTGGCTATCTAACAAGTACCAAATTGTTTGCAAGACTGTCAAAGCCGCTTGACCAGGGAACCATAAACGGGGGTACCAAGGGACAGGATTTAGCCCTCTGAACACACATTCACTGGCACAGTATGTGCAGTTTTGGTTTGATTCTAATGAAATTTACGACACACTTGCAGCTTACTATCGCCTTTATGCGTGTCAAATTTCAGAATTTTTTGGCAAAAATAACCGTAGCTGCACGTGGATCAATCTTTTTTGTAACTGCCTTACACACACACACACACACACAGCTGCGTACAACCGAGTCCGCGTGTTGATACCGAGACTGCTGCAAGCCCATTGGTCACTTTCACAGAGCTTGACCTTAGGGGCTGTCCAATCATCGCGCAGGATTTCTCACACATGATCGCGCGTCAGCTTATGTGTAAGTGCGCTCAAGGTCAACCACCTCTCTTGTGTGACTCGGGCGTGCTTTCACACTTTTGCGTTTTATTGTTGCCCGCGTACCTCACTTGGCTTACTTTATTCACCTACCCGGACACCACAAGTTGTTGATTATATGTTCTAGCTGCTTTTTTTTTGTTTTATAGTTCCAACCCAACCCCCACACATTAGCCAATTGTACTAAAAACCCATTTCCTTTTGGATTTACCTTGGTTTACCTTTTTAAATTTCCACTTTTTTAGTTTCGAGTTCCCTTTAGTAACATCTGAACTCATTTTACTGGGTGTTCCCTTTTTGTGTCTACATTAGCAGTGCACGTTTTTTCATTTTGGATTTGTCGAAATCTCTTTTTAAGCTTTACCTTCTTTGACATTTTTTTACTGCTAGAGCAGTGAGGGTGAGTGAAACCCCTGAACAGACTTCTCTGCATCTTTCACAGATGGCCTCGAGCTCAGCTGCTTGCATATCTACGGAAAGCACCGCTGCGCGGACTGAATGGTTGGCTTCAGCGGCTTTAACCATGTCCACACACCACGCCAGGCTTTCAGTTGAAGAATGTTCACTTCAGAATTCACAGGATGCAGTCTGCGTGGCTAAGTTGAGGGCTTCACAGTCCCCAGCACAGAAAACCCTTCGTCGTTTGTGAGATGCCACCTCCAAAGCTTGCTCCAGGGATTTAGAAAGCCCTGAACAAACAACTTCGTGTCGTCTTAGGAATACTAAGGATACAGCCACCTCTAGAGCTTCAGAACAACCCCAAGAAACCGCTCATCATCGCTTTAGAAATGCCCTATCCACCGTATCTGCCAGAGCCTTAGAAAGCCCTGCACAGACCACTGTTCATCGCATTAGAAATACCCGCTCCACTGCATCTGCTAGAGCCCTAGAAAGCCCTGCACAGACCACTGTTCCTCACGTTAGAAATGTCCGCTCTACTGCATCTGCTAGAGCCCTAGAAAGCCCTGCACAAACCACTGTTCGTCGTGTTAGAAATGCCCGCTCTACTGCATCTACCAGGGCTGCAGAAAACTCTGAAGTACGCTGTCAATGGCTCGAAAACATTAGCAACTTCGAGCTTCTTTGAATGGCGTAACTTCGCCGTCTGCGTCATTTTGGTCAAATGCCGCATATAATTATGACTGCACTGTCAACTTTTCCGTTAGGAGAAACGTACAAATAGGAGACATGGATAAAGTTTGCACTTTTTGCAACGCAAAAAAGTGGGCTGGTGAGCAACCAGGGCTTTGTTGCTCTGGGGGCAAAATCAAACTCCCTTCTTTAGACGAACTTCCCCTGCTGCTTAGGGACCTCCTTCTGGGTACAACTTCGGAGTCAATGCATTTTCTTGAAGCAATACGGAAGTACAACTGTTGCTTCCAGATGATGTCTTTTGGTGCGAAGGCTATTAGTGAGTGGGGATGGATGCCTACTTTCAAAGTGCAAGGCCAGGTTTACCACTTAATGGGATCGCTTAGAACCGACTCCTACATTCACCTTTGTGATGGTCTGCGTTCTGATGGTGACCCACGCAATCTCAGCAAACCATGCATTTTGCCTTCCTCTTACACTGGTGGCCCTCGATACATGCATGAAAGGACACAAGATGCAATGACCTATGTCCGTCATTATGGGAGGCCTGATTTGTTCATTATGTTCACATGCAATCCGAAATGGGTTGAAATCACATGCGAACTTTTTCCAAGTCAGCAGTACTCACACTGCCCTGACCTAATTGCCCACATTTTCCGGTTACAGCTGTGTAAGCTTATGGATTTAATCCTTAAAAGGCAAATCTTCGGACGCGTGTCATATGTATACAGTGGAATGGCAGAAACGCGGCTTGCCTCATGCCCACATTCTGCTGTGGCTCAACGATAAGGTTGATGCAAACAAAATCCTGCGCTGGATCCTGTGCTCCACAAAATCATTAAAAACAATATGATACATGGCCCCTGTGGCGTGAATTATGAAAAAAGGTCATGTTGGTCAAGCGGCCCCACTTGCACAAAGGGTTACCCCCGTAAGTTTATCTCAGAAACGCAGACTGCGATGGATGGTTACCCACTGTACAGACGTAGAAGCCCCACTGAGGCCGGCAGAACTGTGAGAGTTAAGGGGGCACACTTTGGATAATCGTTGGGTGGTGCCTTATTGCCAGCTGCTGTCCAAGACTTTTTGTGTCCACATAAACATTGAATACTGCCACTCGGTTAAATCAATAAAGTACATCTGCAAGTACGTTGATAAAGGCAGTGATGCTGCCGTTTTCGGTATCCAGCGCAACAATTGCATTGATGAGGTGGCCAATTACGTGGCTGGATGCTACCTCAGCAGTAGTAAGGCCTTTTGGCAAATTTTCAGATTCCCTATACACCAAAGGGCTCCAGCCATTGTGCAGCTTCTTTAAATTATGCTCAACAGATGCTTTTGCCAAAACATTGATATACCCCCAAGTCCCGTCCTACTACGTGTGGTCAAACAACCGATGGGTTTGGTGAAAGCCTGGTGACCCTGTCGAGGGTTATCCCGATGTAAGGTCTAACTCTTGCCTTGGACGCATTTATACTGTGCCCCCCAGCCAGCAGGAGTGCTTTTACCTCCGCCTTCTACTTCATGAAATTGCTGGGCCAACGAGTTTCACAGATATTCGCACTGTCAATGGCATAGAGTGCCAGTCTTATAGAGAGGCATGCTTCCATTTGGGATTGCTTGAAGATTACTTCCAATGGGATGCAGCCATGGCAGAGGGTGAACTTCTCGGAACACCATCACAGCTTCGAACTCTGTTCGCCATTTTGCTTTTGCGATACGAACTAAGTGATCCTCTGTCGCTCTGGCTAAAGTACAGAGAATCCATGTCAGAGGATGTGCTGTTCTCCATTCAGCGTAACAGCCCAGGAGTTGAATGCGGTTTCACTGACTTCATATTCAACAGAGCGCTGGTGGCCCTAGAAGATCTTGTTTTCGAATTGGGCAGTGCCTCTTTACCAACTTACGGTTTACCACCACCGCTCAGAGACAGTTTTGACACTGTACCAACTGAGTTATTGCGGGAAACATCCTACTCCATCGAGGAGCTGAACGCATACATTACCGAAAACGAGCCCAAACTTCTACCTGATAAGAGGGTTGCTTTCACTACCATAACAGACAGGGCAAATCGCTCCAGTGGAGGTATATACATTTTAGATGCACCCAGAAGAACTGGCAAATCTTTTGTTACTAAATTAGTCCTGGCAGAGGTATGGCATTATGGGGAGATCACTATTGCGGTCGCATCTTCCGGGATTGCTGCAACGTTGCTACCGGGAGGTAGAACCACTCATTCGGCTTTTAGGTTGTCACTTGATCTATGCCAGTCACAAACTCCTCTCTGCAACATAAAGAATTCGCCACAGGCTGAAGTTCTGCGAAGATGCAAACTTATAGTTTGGGATGAGTGCATGATGGCACACAAGGGCACCCTTGAGGCACTTGACCAAAGTCTCCAAGACAGCCGCGACTCCTCCAACCCCATGGGTGGAGTAACCCTTCTCCTCGCAGGTGACTTTAGGCAGACTCTACCTGTAATTACTTAAGGTACACGCGCTGATGCTGTCCGTGCCTGCCTGAAGTCATCTGCCCTTTGGCGCCACATGGAGACTCTTAAACTGAGCACGAACATGCATGCCTACTTGAATGGGGATTCCAGATCCGCTGACTTCACACGGAACCTTCTTGCTCTTGGGGAGGAGAAAATGCCATCTGACACACAGGGTTTTGTGCAGATGGATCAGCTTGCCACCACTGTTGAATCACTGGATGAATTGATGAATGCAGTCTTCTACAACCTATCCACTAATTTTGCTGATGTCGATTGGCTTGCTGGGAGGGCCATATTGGCACCAAAGAACTGTACAGTTGATTCCATCAACCTTAAACTGTTGGATTGCATTCCCAGGCAATGTCATGTTTATAAGTCCATCAACAGAACTTCCGATCCATCTGAATTAGCTGAGTATCCCATAGAAGTTTTGAACTCCTTTCAACCGTCCGGACTCCCACCACATATTCTTTGGCTCAAAGTTGGTGCTCCGATTATGCTAATCATAAATTTGCTCCCACCTAAACAGTGCAATGGGACTCACCTCATTATTAAATCCCTTTCTCCGAACCTGATTGAGGCAACCATTGCAACTGGCTGCAGCAAGGGGGAAATCATTCTGATTCCCAGGATGCATCTTCTGCCATCAGACGCAAGCATACCAATCAACTTTCATTGCTCACAATTTCCCGTGAAGCTTTGCTTTGCTATGTCCATTAACAAATCACAAGGACAGACGCTTAGCATCGCAGGTCTGCATTTACGTGAGTAGTGCTTCTCTCATGGCCAACTTTACGTTGGGTGCTCACGAATTGGGTCTAAGGACAGGGTTTTCATTTACTCTCCCAACAACTGTGCTAGAAACATAACCTACATGGAGGTCCTGTAGACAACCCGTCTGGTAGTGTTTATGCACCATGCACACATATGCAGTCCGATTGCATGGCAATTTTTTGTTTGTCATATTGGTTTTAACGTTAGGTCATCATAATCTCCACTTGCCATTACTAAGACATCTTTGTAAAGGTTATCCAGCTCTTTTGCTGCCTTCTGACTTTCATACCTTCACCCGCCATCATCATGTTTGTTTGCACACTATGATGGCCTCATCGTATTCAGTTGCAACACAAGCTGCTAGACACATGAACACCGACATTAGACATGATTGCTCCACTAAAGTTCCGGTTTCATTAACAGTTGATCGAAGCACCTGCAGTTTGTACCAGTGCATACAAGCACATTCACACTTGAGAAGCTTTGGAGTTCGTTTGTCACAAAAGTCGAGTGCATCTACGAAATTCAGGCTTCTGCTTCCATATACACTTTACAGCTGCCATGGGTGAAACATGTCAGCCATACAGCTCTATTGTTTGTAGTTGTGTAAAAAAAACTAAAAACACACACCAAGTATGGCGACCCCGGTCAGTTTTCATGAGCTCTCAGCCGTGATGTTGACTGCAACTGAAGAGAAGGCACTTCTCCATTGCAATTGAGGCGCTCGGCCATACGGCAACCCCGGTCCAGTTTCATGAGCTCTCAGCCATGATGTTGACTGCGACTGAAGAGATGACACTTCTCCATTGCAATTACAATGCTTGGCCTTACAGCTACCCCCATTGCGGTTTTAAGGGCTCTCAGCCGCGATGTAGATGGTGACAGATCAGAATAAAGGAAGTTATATCACAGAAATTTTCTTACCATGACACCCTGTCACTGTTCGCTCTTCTCTCGGTTTTACGGTTCTGCTTTGTGGTCGTGGCAGTGCCGTCTTTTGGGCATAAGACGCTTCTTTTAATTCGACAAGTGGTTTGTTTGTGATTGCGCACGGCACATACTTTATGTCTATGGCTTCCTCACAGCACGTTTTCCCTTCAATCCCTATGTATGTTGATACTGAATCGTGGTTTCTTGACTACTTACCACAAGTGCTTCCAGTAATGCTTAACGGTCCAATTGGTTAAAACAGTAACTGCTGTCAGCTTTTACTCACAGATGTCTTAGTAATGGCAAATGACTGATGCTACAACGGCTTTCCATTACTTCCTTCGATAACTTTGAATACTTGGGCCTGCATGATGTCTGCTTAAACTTTGTGCACATTGCGTTTCAACGTTTTGTAGAAACTTAGTTCCTGTCGACTTACAAAGCACATCTTTCAAAGCAACAGCCATCCCCATCTCTTACATCCCCGGGCAACGCCGGGCTCTACTGCTAGTATTTTATAAAATTACATCATTCTGAATCATTTATGATCCAGTCATGTTAAAATAAGAAAAGATTTATGAAAGTACAAGAAATTGAAAATGACTGAAAATGTCTGTGTTTGACAAAGATTAAACATTACCAATCCAAATAATGATTTACTTCATAAGGGATACAAAAAATTATTCAATTCAAGTAAATTTCAAAATGTTAAACTTTTGCCTTAAAACACATTAGCTAAGAAATGACAAGATAAAATTGAGAGTTAACTCGTATAAAGCTGATAATACCATGGAAAAAAAAAATCAATAACAACCCATTTTTATTGCATCAATTGATGCTGGTATCTGACAATTTTTCACAATCAATTTATTCATCCAAATTTTCTTATTTGTAGAGAATCTAATAGAACAATATAAAAGTTAATTTTTTATGAGATTTGGTGTGGGAGGTGATTTAAGAATGTGAAATGAAACCAGATTTCACAAAAAAAAAAAAAATAGTAGATTATGGGTAAAAAGAATTCTTCAAAATAAGATTTCTCTAAATATTCTCTTATTAAGCATGGATAGTGCAGATCATTTAGCTTTGCTCAGGACTGATGCAAAATTCTTGTGATCCCCACCTTCCAAATCTATGATACAGGGCCCCTCACTCTAATACATCTCAATTTTCATAAGGTAGAATTCATAATTAGGTTACAATAAAACTTGTATTTTATTTTAACCTAATTATGTATAATAATGGATCATATGCAATATGGGTGAATAATTTAACTAGAAAAATTGACTTTAAATACAATCTATCTAAATACAAATTAGAGACATATCATAATAGATCTACCTTAATTTTTTGTGGCAACTATTTACATCATTTGGACTATTGACCTCATCTTTGTCGCCATATTTATTATGTTTCAGCCGTTGTACACTCCAGCCTTCTTCAGGTGGTTGGAATGTGGAACTGAACCCTTTATTTCGCTCACTGGGGTAGACTGTTCTAGTTCCACGTGCCATGTTTAATGGATGTCACTTATCTCCTGTTAATTCCCCTCTCCAAGTTCTCCACTCTTTGGGTCCTATCACTGGATCTC